AGTTAAAATGCCTCGGATACACCTAAAATAATCAAGAGTCGTGCCCTTTATTGAATACATGCCTTAGCATCGGAAGTTTCACTTCTAACATCTTCGTCAATGATGAGTGCTTGTTTGCTTAATTCAACATTAGGGATATCTTTGGAAAATTGTAAATACTTGTGAGACTACTCATCTGTTAACTTCATTCGAAGTTGACTATATTGCTTCTTTTAAATTATGACGTCGTAGCCATTTTACCCTCAATAGAGCAAGTCTAGCGTTGCCATTGGGTGCAAATCCTACTAGAAAGGGAGATATCGCTATTGCACTAGCTGGCTTTCCTGATCTAAATGGATGGACGTTGTTGGATTTCTCTCTAATGACCAAATGAAACTCAAAGGACTAAAAGACGGTTCTTTCGGGGTAGGCAGTCTTGTTGCCACGACGTAAGCTTGTAAACAATGTCAGCAAGACAAAACATAGGATGATGTCGATGGTGGGAAAAAGAAGCTTTTGAGCCATGGCATTGGCTTGGTTTTGGGAAAGTGCTTTTACTCTGTGTTTTGGTGACAGAATCGGTGTAATCTTTGACTGACTATACAATTTAAGTCTGTGAGTAGAGCCAGAGACGGCACAGTTACCGGATCGAGTTATTTTTCAATAATTGTGACTCATTAGTTTTTATTATTATCTTATTAATCAATTAGCTTCAAAATCTATTTATATCAATAATAAGTAGCGTCGTCGATTACAATGGCAAAAACATGTTATAATCGTCAATCCCACTATAAATGCCCTTCGGAAGAGACTTGGTTTGCCTTGAATGTTGCATTTGCCCTGCGAAATCCACTCGTAGCTGTCTAGTGAAGTGATAACTTAATTCAATGACGTCTTGAGTCCAACTCATCTGATTATGACCCCCCTTAAATCACCTTAGCAACCTAGTTTGGCTATGTTATCATTCAGTAATATGTGCCGTGTTTATCCTATTTCGTTTGAGCTGATGAATGACTGATAGTAGAATTTTCTCACAATGATATGTGTACAGCTGATGTCTTCAGTGAATTTCACATAGCCTTGATTTCACAAAAGTTGTTTGTATCCAAGGTGGACTGCAGTTTCGACCTCTTATCAACACCCAAAGCGTGTGTCGGGCCACGACATTGCAACGCGTAAGTTCGATACTTTAACCGCTACGCCACTGCCACGAGTGTCCTTTGGGTCACAGTAATTACTGATAGTCTCGGAAACTACTTATGCTGATTTTTTTCATATTGATATGATTGGGTCTCAAAAAGCCTAGGCCCTTCCCATATCACACTTTTGTTGTGGGATGGTCGACGAAGCAATTGATTAAATTACTTATTTTTCGTTTTATAGGTAGGTTTTCGATACTACCAGTAAATCCGATCTAAGAGCTGTATTCATCTTATCTTGTTTCACTTGCTTATATTTTGCTCCCAAAACCCCCTCCTTACTGGCAGGATTTTGCCCCATTTTGGCCAAGCCTGGATGCCATAATTGACGCAGGCAGACTCTTCTCTGCTCGGCAAGCTGGTTCAACTGTAATAGATCTGGCTTGCCTTGATTCGCCTAATAGCCATTTGAGTCTCTTCGACACGCCTAATGCTGCTAACGGTGCCGTCGAAGAACTGGCCAGCAGTCATGCAGACAAGTTTTCGAACTGTGTTTTCTCCATCGTTCGAGAAGGCTGGTAAGACATTTAAAAGCTCAGCATCAAAGGACTTTGCACATTTTATGCCAAGAATTATTATCACGCCTTATGTGTAAATTTATTTCATTTCATTCTAAAAATGTATATCTGTGAGACGAATCAAATTAGATCAAGAATGAGTACCAAAGTCGAGACACATGTTCGGAACAAAACATTTTAATATACAGGATAAATTCCAAATCTTTCTTGTAGAAATAACTTCTCTGTAGCTACAGTCTTGGCACATTTAGTTTTAAACTTGATATAAATTGTTGCCTTATATTGTGAAATTATAAAACCTCATTCGGCAGGTAATCAGCTGTGCCAGGAAGATAAGAGAAATATGTGAAAGCCATCAAATGCCTATGTAAATATGTATGAGGAACAAAATTTGCATCTAACTAAACTGAAAAAGTAGTCTAACTCTTCGAACTGCTTAATGTGTCAAAGATTGTTAATATCCATTCAGCTGCGGGGCAAGCTGGATGTTTTTTTTCAATTTCCATCGTTGCATGAGGCTTATCTTAGCAATCTTTTATTAATTTCTAACGTCTATGCTAAGGGCTAATTTTTTTAATGACATTTTTCCATTTTCTCCTTGGTTGCTTCCTTTATTTCTTTACTAGAGAAGTAAAGGTAGGAAAGCTTGTAGGCAAACTCCCCATTATATTAGTCACACAATAAGTTCTTCATAGTTCTTTTGAAAAGTGCATCGCCCTCTACTGTGAAATAATTAACTGTTTTATCATTGCTAAGGTGGTTTAATCTGGAAAGCTTGAATCATTTCATTTCGATTATTTAAACTTATAGCTTTGATTAAATAAGTCCCACTTGCCGGAAAATGCTTAAATTATTTCTCCGCTACTTGTAAATAAAATCAGTTATTCGATTTGTACATTTTTATAAAAGCTTATATCTTCATTAAACTATCTAGAATACTGATACTTTTGGCTTAGCAACTTATCACTAATTTTGTCATCTTGGTGATGATAAAACTACTTTGCATGAATAGAATGAATGAAAACGACCACATTTTCTCAATATCCTTGTCCTGGCTTGTACCATGATGAGGATCTGCCGTCTTAATCACACTATGATAAAGGGTTCACTGGAGACTCTTAGAAAAAACGTCCGCTTAAGCACTAAAAACACCCATAAATGACTTCTTGACGAAGGATGAGGAAGCCGGCGGCGCTATGACCTAAGACATCATAAGAAAATACGATAGCAATACTGATTTTTTGTCGAGATTTACAGTACTATGAAAATATTCCTTCATGTTTCTCAGAATAGTGCTAACTACAGGTTATTTACCTAGCCAATCATCATTTTTGCCAATTCATGATGCTTCGTCTTATGATTCGAACTAATATTTTATTTGCTAACGTAATTTTCTCCCATTTTTAACTACCTTTACCAGTGCCCTTCAGGAGACCCTAGAGATCTTAGAGTGCCAATTTGGTCTCAAACGAATACCATAATTTATTCTGTTGAATTCCTCCGTCATCGTGAGTCTTCATTCCTTCCGATAATTAGTGATATTTTTTTATTTCATTAAACCTTAATCAGAATCATTTGTACAAAATTGTATCACGAAGTTATACTAATATAAATATCGTATTTTTATCAATAATTAATCTAGTTGAGAATTATCTCTACTTCCATAGCTTCCTCTGAAGTAATGAAAATGGCAAACGAAATACGTATCCAGTTATATGAGATGTATTCACCATATTTCG